TTTTACGCAATGACAGCACGTAAAGAAAATCCTTTTTCGGTGACATCATTGTGTTGGGTAGTATACGATTGCCAGCATCTACTACAATTTCCTCATACTCCCCGGGCTTCTGACCAGATAATAATACTTTTTTAATAGTGCCAGTTTCAGTGCCTAGAAACGCAAGGGAATGCTGTTGATCAGTTGTAGTTGTTGCTGTCACCGATGTAACCGAAACATTATCAAAATGGAATAACGCATGTGCTGTTATTGGTGCAACGCCGCTAATTTTAAGTCCAACACTGCAGAAATTGTAAATGTTGCCCAAAGAGCCTGCATTTGGGCATTTACCATCATTGATCGTGCCAGATATATAGCCTAGATTCCGATCCTTATTGGTTCCATTGAAGCACATGTGTATATTCTCAATAAACACATCCTCAATGTCCTTTAAGCTATAAATGCACATAGCTGACTTGTTTTCTGGCTGATCGCTTATCTCTTTTGATGGCGAGAACACAGTCACCAGCACATGATCATCTCGCTTGATGCCCATTTGATGGGCCAACTTTTGGCTGGCATGCGTTATCTTCGCATCCCGCAATATATTATAATCGATTTGCTCATCCGTAGCAGTACACTGAATGGTTATCTCAGTGTAGCTGTCATAGTTTGGATCTGTAATGCAGATGCGTGCCAAACGCGTTACATAACCTGCCTCTTCAGCCAGATGTGACTTCTTTTGAACAAGCACAAAGTACGCATACTCTGACGAATTAAATCCGTAAACGTAGTTGACCAGAAAGTGATCACGGTATTTCACATCGATGTTAATAATTGACTGTTGTATGGAAAATTCCGCGTAATTTAGGTCGTCCAAGCGTCGAGATGATATCGCTGGCACATCATGCCGATAGTCGCCGACGTTAGTGAATGTTGTGCCCACATATAGTATATCCTCCTCTTTCCATGAATAGCGCGACGGGCCAACAAATGCATAAGTCGATGCATATTCATCATTAGCAGCCAGTGGCACTGCCACAAATTGAGGAGCAGATGGAAATCGCAAGAGATTGTAAATTTCACATGCACCTACGAAGAAAAAACGTAAAAGCACACTTAATATGAATAAAACTACGAATCTAATCTGCTCAGATTGCCAAGTAATTTTGTTCCATTCGACAGTGCTCGAGTAAGCAATGCCATAAAATATTTAATGAATGAATTTCACAAGATGTAATGCTTATCAATTTATGATATGTTAAACTTGATAATCTTAGCTCTGATGATCGAAGCCTCTGAATTTTTTCTTGACTTACTTATATGCCAAAATAAAAAAAGCCTGATCAGGGTAAGCATTTCGAAAAACCAATCATTCTTTTTATACCCTGGACCCATTTTCAATGGGAAATCAGGGTTTTGTTAAAATTATGTAACAGGCAGTAAGAGGCGTGGCAGACCCCACAAGTATACAAAGTATACAGCTGTTATATTACGTTGCATTTTTCGATTTTTTTTTTGAATTTTTTGAAACGCTGAATATTTTTGTAATAATTGCTATTTGTTGCAATAATTTATAGCTTTCTGCTTATATACAAAAAATAAGTAGATCAACACACTGATAAATGTATCGAGCAGATCTTTAGTTTTGCATTTGCAACCATTTGCTGTTTTATTTTTCACAGCTGTATATTCTTGATCAGGGCGACGAGCTGAGTCGATTTAGCCCTGTCCGTCTGTATGTCCGTATGCTTATGCGCGTCGTTGAAATTTTTTCCCTAAAATCGATAACTTGCCCCGTTATTTTGATATCGATCAAAAACATTTAAAATCAGCAATAAATTCATTTGTGTTTCAGGTATAAGCAGAAAGACGCGAAGAATTATTAAAATATCATTTGCTCGTAGGGTTTAGTGGATCTCGAAGTCGGACAGTCTCAACTAGAGCTTTCTTAATTGTTTAGTTTATTTCATTTATTTATTATATTTAGTTTTTTAATTGGTTCCTAAAATTATAATAATTATTTATTACTTTGCAATAAATAAGGTTTATGCTTATAATATTTATATTTAAATAAATATGAATACTTG